CACACACACACACACACACACACACACACACATTGGCACTTTCTGTACTGAGCCAACGCAGCGCCGATGCAGAGGACGACTTCACTGCGTTCATGGAGAGGCGGGAGAATGATGTAGGGTCGCAGTATGGCTCCTCTCGCTCGTGTGTGTGTGTGTGTGTGTGTGTGTGTGTGTATGTGAACGCATTCGTGTGTATCACGCGTTTCAGAAGAGAGGCAAACGTAGTACTGTCAATGTGTGTATGAATGAGTGCCTGCGCTCACAAGCCGGACAGCGCCGCGAGGCCGGCTGTTGCAGCTCTCCCCGCTTCAGCAGGAGACCCTCCTCCTTCTCCTCCTCCTGACGGTGCTGGAGGGGCACGCTCAGTTGGGACCCGCCACTGCAGCGCCACCCCACCCCCTCATCTCAACCGTTCCCCGGACCACTTTTTGCCCAGCCCTCGTTGTCGGCCGACAGGTGAGCAGGACCTCCCGAGCCGAGCCGCACCGCGTCACGGGGCCGTCAGCCCCGACAGCCTGATGAGGACGGAGCCTCCAGGGTAACACGACGGTTCACATAATTTTTTTCACACAATGGTTTTATACCTAATGACATTTCTTACAACCCAGTTCACATATTTATTTTCACATTATTTTCGTTTTGTCTAGAGGGCACTTTGACACAGTTTCAGTTTCGTCTGATGTGTCGTTTTGCATACGTTTTTACACATAATTTAGATTTGGGATAAATAAAGTTGTTGCGGGATTATACCTGCCAGAGCTGCAGGGGCCGTGGTGCCTTACGGGTGAATTGGGTTGGCAAACCCGCAACACTGCTGCGCATTCACAGTTACACCCGGTACAAAGCTCATTTCACAAACTTAGAATAGTGGGCTAGGATTTGCACAAGGCTTTTCCGTGCCCACGTGTGACCCATAAGACACGCTCAAAATACCAAGTTCGACATTCAGACACCCGGTCCCAGAGAAAATGGTTTTGTCAAAGTGATATCACGTGATGTCAGTGTCAAAATTTTGTCATTTTGGTGGCCTGCTTTAACGTCAATTTGACATCACGTAACGGCATGTAATATCAAAAGGACGTCAAACCAAGACACCGAAATGACAAAATTTTGAAACTGACATCACGTGATGTCATCTTGACAAAACTGTGTTTCCTGGGTCTATTGTATAAGCCCACTCAACAGCTCGTTAAAAGCAGAAGAGCGAGCCGAAGACAGAAAAAAATCGAGGGGGCCTGCCAGAATAAATGGGTTCACACACAGAGGAAAATGTAAAAAGAAATGTATGCAAAACAGTACTATATGTAAAAAGGAAACTTATGTGAAACGGTATTTATGTTTAAAAAATTGTGTTAAAGGTGTTATGTCAAATGTTATTGGGCAAAAGGACACTGTGTGAAAAAAATTATGTGAACCGTCGTAGAACCAGCCTCCAGCCTCCCGTCGTGGACCCGTCGGCCGCTCCTCATCACCCGACACGGAAGGTGCCGAACTCAACTGGCCAAGTTATTTCCTACATTCCACGCTTCCGAAGCCCCCTCCCCCACACCCCCTTTTTTTTGGGGGGGGGGTGGTGGCCCCTCACGCCCCCTCCTCTCTCCCCGGCCCCGGAGCCACGCTGGCACGTCGCGTAAAGCTCGTAAAGCACAAACGAAGGCGACTTTTACGGCGAGCCCGCCGGCCCGTAATTGGAGTTTAATGCTTGTGTTTCATTGTAACGCGCCGTTTAACGAGAGCTCCCTGCGAGAGGCGCGCCCGCCCCAGCAAGGGCCGCTGCATTTTTTTGTACTATCATTGCCGCGTGGCGCTCTGGCTCTCCTGCCCTCCTGCGGCCCCTGCCGCCCCTGCCGCCCCTGCCGCCCCTGCCGCCCCCGCCGCCCCCCGTCGGCCGCCCCTGTGCGCCGGCTGGGCGGGACGTTTCACCCGGGGGCGGCAGATTGGGGGCCGTGACCGTACCGTTGCGAATAATACGCGATTAGTCAAAACGGGGCAGACAGTTTTGCGGTGAAGGGCCGGGTAGCCTGACGCGGGCCTTGTCTGGACAGGCGGTGCGGGGTCTACGGCTTTGGCCAGTCGCGATGGACGGCGAGGTGACCACGACGACCTGGGCGACATTGTGCGATGGGGGGGG